GGATTTAAAAATTGTCAAAGTTGAAATTTATAATAAAAACATAATAAGTGGACTCAAACTTTTGGAAGCAACCGTATTTGAAGTTGTATAAATATTAATATCAAAAGTTGAATTGCTATCTAAAATTTGAATCAATAAGAATATTGAAAAAGATTAAAATTAAATTATTGTTAAATTATTAAAATTTATCTTTATTAATTAATAAATTTATTTAGAAAACAAAGAATTATATATATGAATTGAAAAACTAAAAAGAGAAAATGCCAATTTTGTAAAATAATTAGATCTAATTAAATATATTAATACCAAGTTTTTTGAAGAATTAAAATAGCAAAAAAATGAAATAGAAGATTTAAAAAAAAAAATTAATCAATTCAAATCTATAAAACTTGAACTTGATTCTATAATAATTGTAGAATTTAAAGCAATTGATTAGAATCTAAATTTTGCTAAGTTTAGTAAAGTATTGAAAAATTCAATCTAGAAGAAATAGTAAAAAAACAAAATTGATAAAACTGGTTATCAAAGATGAGCTGAAATCAGAAGAAGTGAGAATAGAAATAAAGATCTTAATAAAAACTATTTCTAATGAATAAATCAAAAATAGATGAAGTTTTTTTAAGTAATATGAATAAAAAAATATTACAAATGTAGATATTCAAATTAATAAAATCTATGACTTTATATGTTAATCTTTTATGAAAGCAAATAAACAAATAGTTAGGTGCATTATATAATCATTAAAAAGAAAAATATTAGAAGGCAAAAACTAGAAAACTGGAAGTAAACAATCATTACTTATATGCAAATAGCTAATTAAATGAAGTAAAACTAATAATATTCTATATTTATATTACTTTCAAATATTAATTTTTAATGAATAATTAAAAAAAATATATGAAGAATTAAAAATACACAGTCATTTATTAAGTAAAAGTCTAAGAAAGTTATTAAATATTGAAATGAATTAATAGATATAATTAAAGAAACAAATGTTTATTTATTTGAAAAAAGTAATAGTGATCCAAGAAATCCCATTAAAAGAAAAATAAATGTATATAATTGCAATTAGTGTTTTGAAGAGGTATTTTTTAGCAAAATATTTTATATTAAATAATTATAATATTAATTATAATTACTTATAGTTAAAGAATTTGTTAGAATATTTAGATAAATATTCAAAATCAATTTAAATATTCCAGCTGACTTATAAATAATATTGTTATAATTCATATTACTATGATAGAATACTATCGGAAGGTTTGTTGAATTGAGTATATAGTTTGAAAGAGATTTTAAAATATGAACAAGAAAAAGTGATAAAAAAAATAAAAATTAATAATTAAATTCAAAAGACAAAAAATTATCGAATATAAAAAATAATTAATAAATTTAGAGTGTGAGAAACAAACTAGAAAAAGTACACAAATAAATAAAATTCAAAAGATAATTAAGTTAGAAGAAAAAAATAAAAAATTTCGAAAAACATTTGATAAGATAAAATCAATTGGAGCTAGTTTTAAAAAAGTCAAGTCCAAATCTTTAAAAGAAAAACAAAAACAAATGGAAGAGAAAAAAGAGGAAAAAAAAAATTGATAAATAATTTTATAACTCTTGTCAAATTTTTTACTATAGTATACAATCTTTTTTATCAAATTTTTTTGAAACAGTATCAATATTTTGCTAACTTTTTTATTATAATATATAAAAAAATTTTTTTTGCCATAATATACAAAAATTTTTTTATTACAGTATACAAATTTCTTGTATAGTATACCGAATTTTGTGTTAAATTTTGTGTCAAATTTTTTTATTACAATATATCAAAAATTTTTTGCTAATTTTTTTGCCAATATTTTTAATACTAAGTAGCAACAATTGAAAATGATTCATCAAAGTTTTTATTATTAGATTTATTAGTGAATAGTAAAAATATATCAATATATATAGTGTTTTAACTTACTTGTATATATGATAGTAATAGTAAAGTCAATGAATAATTTTAATCAAAGAGCAAGTTTTTAAAAAATAAAAAATTAATATATAGTTAATAGAAGTATTGAACCAAGTATAAAGTAGCATAGATAGTAACAAATTGCAAAAGGCAATCCAATAATTAATATAGGCAATACAAGAACTTTAACTGTACAAGTGATTTAAAATCAATACTTTAAATCAAATACTAATTTTAAAAATAAATTTGAGTGAAAGATATTTTACAATATGCTTACATAATTTTATTAATAAAAAAAAAAAAGTTCTTTCGATAAATAAAAAAATTTTTTAAAAAAAGCAATCGAAAAAGTTTTAATATACAGTATAAGTCAATTCATATACAGTATATACAGTATATCCAATAATAGGTTACAAGTAATAATATTATTGATTAAAAGAGAAAGTAACTTTAGTAAAAAATAAAATGTATAGCAGAAAAATTTTAATAAAGTAACCAATCTAGTCTGACGGCGAGTTAAAAAATAAATTTATATAAAGTTCGTAACTACTGTACATTAATTCCGCAACCTAGACCGAGAATATTTTTCCTGTTGTCGATTCGATAAGCTCGTGAATTTGGCAGGTGGTCACAACTTAATTACGTTAAAATGAAAATAGATAAATGTACAAGACCAACTGCATCGTCAAGGCAAAAAAGAAACAAGCATGTCATAATGTAAGCCACATCTTGTTGTCGCAGTAAACGCGGTTGGAATACTAAAAATGCAATGATCTACAGAAAGATGCGTGAAAAATGAAAGCCAAATGATGTAAGAGATAAAATCACGCAGTGAGAAAAAATTGATCAGCGTACGGATTTCTACAGGATATATCCTCGAGGCTTTTTACAATTCCTTTTTAAAGGAAGATGCATATAATATGATAGCTGATAAAATGTACAGGTTAAGAAAATATCGGTATAAAAAAAGTCGGTAAAGCGAACGCAAAGAGATTCGTGAAACGTGAAACTAAAGGTTTTAAATAAATGAAATATCGTCGTCAACATTAAAAATCTTTAACAAAGAAAGGATTGTTTCCTTGATCAAAGTAAGGAGCGTTGGGCAAATTTCGTTGTTGCTGAGACGACTGTAGGTTTTGCGGTCTGGTGTTCGACCTACCAAATGTAAAATTCAGGAATCAATTCAAATAATTTGAGGATTCAAGAACGCAATAACCCTAATGAATTGTATATATTAGGAACCTTCCGATTTCCGCATTTCGACGCTCGTTAAGGCGGTTCCACACATCGAATGCCTGGAGGGAACCGGGTTGAGGTCGTGGAGGGACAATGTGAACGCGGGAAGTGGAAGCGGTGGCTCTGAGTTGAGCTTGTGCCAGTTTCACTAGAGTGAAATTATGTCATCCATTGAATGATTCTTCATCGGATTAGGAGAACAGAGAATAATAACATACATTCATTGTGAAGAAAATCTGCCTTCGCCTCATGATCATCTCGAAAAGGATTAAATTGACCTTGATATCCCGCAAATTCAGCTGGGGGTGAATTGAAGAGATTCGAAGGAAGAAGATTTATACCACTAGATCCACCAGGTTTTGTGGCATCGGGAGCCTGATTGACCTTTGGGCAAAGAAACTTTAGTGGTGAGAAAGAAATCATGTAGATTGACATTTTTAAACTTACAGGATTATTAATTTCGGAGTCTTGATCCGCTTCGTCATCATCGTCTTTCTTGAATGGGGACAACCGATCCTGCAAATCTTCAGGAAGCGCCAAGCCAGAAACCTGAAGTATCATTAGTTTCTGACGTTCAGTAAACACTGGTGTCATGATACCAGCGCGCATCTTGATATTTCGATGTCACATAAGTTAATACGAAATATAAAAACATAATGCCCAAACGAAATCATTTACGTATTACCATTCTTTCCAATAGCGTCTCATCGATGCGATGGTAATCCTTGCTCAAGTGAATTTTAAGCGACTCGATTGCAACTGATGAAATTTAACCTAAACGGTCAATAACAGTTTGTCTCGAATTAAACCGGAACACCGAGCAACTCACGCTTCAACATTTCAAACAAAAGATCGCGTTGTAAGGTAGTATAGAGATTCCCTTGGTGAAAAGGGAACTGTAAAAGTTCAATGTGAAAATTTGCTCTAAGAAATTAGAAACATATGACAATCAAGTATACCTTTACGAGGACGCTGATGATATTTTCGAATGGACGCTCCGCGCATTTACGAGAAAAGTGTAACTGTGCCTCATTGTTAGAGTTTTTATAATTTCCTGGATAATGGAATAAATATCTTCACTAACCTTATAGTTGCGACAGACGACCAAAAGCGAATTCATTTCTTCTCTCGTGATATAGGGAACGTGTGGCACAGTGGGAGTCGATTGTAGTACATCAGCGGTAACAACGGCGTCGCACCCAGAAAATTCACCTTTCCACTTTGGAAACACTGCTCTCATCAAATCTTCTTGAGATGACCGCACACACAACACAAGCCGTCCCTTCAATGGCTTCATATTGCGTGTATCAACTGCACGTTGCGCATCCGCAAGTGTCGCCATTTCGACGTAGGCTTCAGAGAGTGTCTTCCCTGTTGTTCTGTTAAACAATATAAACACACGGATTGTTCTTTTTTTTTTCACTTTTTTAAATGAATAGAGTCAGTCTCACCTGTCCATGATAATATGAATGCATTGCGCGTATAATGATATATTAGGTAGCTTGAATGCAGAGAAGAATGTCCTGATTTCTTTCAATGATACATCCCACGGAATCTTAAAAAAAAAAACAATAATAATGATACAAATTAGTGTAATACATATAAATATACGGTGATATTATATAGAGGAGGAAAGATTGATCCAAGAATTGTTTGTTTTTTTACATTGGCAAGTTTCACCACAGGCCAATTATGTGCAACAGCCAATTTGCTGAGTTCGCCGAATTGGACTTGTTGAGGTCTGTTAATGACGGCAGTCATGGGTTGAACCGGTCGCGTCGTTTCTGTCCCACCGGGAAAAACCGAAGAAAGTGAACCGAGAACAGTCGCCTCTTCAGGATTTCCCGAGGCTAAAGTTTTTTCGTTGAGTCTGGTTGCCATTGAATAAACTCCCGATTGAACAGTTTTCTTGAATTCTGCAACAGGCTAATGCATAAATAATAAGATTAGATATAATCTTGAATTAGACGACCATGGAGGTTCAAGCAGTGAATTGATCGCTACCGTCTCACAAAATATACATTCGGAGTATGTTTTGCGCAAATTCTTGACGGTGTTTGTTCGCAAATCGTGGACGCACGCTTCGCACATTCTTAAAGATAGATCCAAAGGTAATTGATATTGGATATGAGTTACGCGGTGGAAAACAGAAGCAGAAAAATGTTCACGACTGACACCTGTGACCACAGGGATTCAATAAAACATTTCCGTGGATGCACGCAACACAGCGAATTCGGGATAGAGCTTTTGGGGTAACGCATTCCTTTTCTGGCACGGAAGTTATTCGAGAAGATGGTCTCATTGAATCCGGCAGCATTAATTTTTGTTGAGCAGAGATTGTTTTCCTCTGCGATAGGGCAACAGGCGCGAATCTATCAAGAGCGGAATTGAGTGGAGAGTTCGGTGCCGTATTATCCGATTCGGGCTTTTCCTCCAACACTTCCAGCTGATTTATCGCGAAGAGGTCAAGTATAACCATATTGTTTGATCGAGTTTACAAAGAAGGAATCAAAGTTTGACTTGCCTTATTACGAGTATTCGCCACGAGTTTATTTTTAGTAATGTAAGGTGATTTATCATTGAAGACAGATTTTCCAGATACCTTGATTTCAAAGGAATCTTCGCAAATGGAAGTAGAACTAGTTTGACCGCTCGATTCACCGGAGTGACCCGATGATTCTGATCTATCCGAGTCGGCAGGGCTGATCTTCAAGCAGCTATTCTGCGGTAACTGTTTTCCGGCAGGGGTCATATCAAGGGACACTGAGGTCAATTAAAATGGTCGCATTAATTTTGTTAAGTTCTCGGAAGGCGTAAAGAAACAAAACGATGGGCCGCATGTAGGACGACGGAAGCGTAATAAGAAGACGAGCGAAAAACGATCCACCTTCATTGATTTTATTGGTTATCTTTTCAAGCGTCTTGTTGAAAGCTTCGGCAATATTCTTTTTGTCCGGCGTAGCCGTAACCGATGAACTGGAAACGGTCGTGTGGAGTTGGCACGGCGAAGTGCTTGACTCTTGAGGCATGGAGCAGATCTCTTTGGTGTGACAATTATTTCTTTAGAAGCGTCGCACGAGAAAGCAAGAATGATGTTTATCATTTTTCAATGAACCTACGTCCTTGTTTTCTTGCCAAGCCGGCGGTCAGGCAGTTCGAGAAAGCACAGAGGATGATAAACTAAACCCGTGAAAGTTTATTTATAAAAGAAAAAAAAGTGCCGAAAAAAAAAAAAAAAATGAAAAAAAAAAAAAGAATGAAAATTTTTTTTTGTTTGAGGAGATGAAGGGCCAAACGTTCAATTTATTGAAATTCGTCTACTGAAAACTGTTCACACTTTAGACGCGTGGGTGACTTAATAGCTTGAATGACGTAATTGAATTACGATATGTGCATGCTAAAGAAACAATCTTGCGTGAAAAAGTATGTGAAAAGCTTATAGTAAACTTTGCACATTGGCGTGGATTCTAGCTTGACGGTTTGTTCGATTGAAGGTGATTTTCGATTTGAAAGTTTATTAACGATTTTAAACTTTATTATCATTATTACCCAGAATATTTTAAGATAAACAATTACTTTGAAAACGTCACATCAACAAATATTTCTTACAGGTTTATACGAAAAGTAGGTTAAACTCGAACCCTCCAAAGTATACCTGCGCTATCAATTAGATCATGTGACAGAACCTTCAACGATTTTCTTGCGAGGCATTCTTACCGGATTCGCGTTATAATTTAAATCACGTGCCCAGAATTTCTCGATAAGTTGTCGGGCGCGATTCTTTCAGTAATTCTCAGGATCACGTGGATTTACGAGTCGCTTCGACCTATTTTGCATTATTTCTCCAAAGGAAAATGATCGTTACAGACCAGGTCCGGAAGAAGAAAGAGATCCTACGACCCAATATTCGCTCACGTGATTAGATATGAGGAATTGATTAATAAATATTTGAGCGCACATAGATTTTTTTCGGCTAATTTCCGAACGTTTTTCGATTCAAAGTCAATGTAGATAAGGCTGGATTCAGGAATCAAAGAATATTAGCAAAGAATATAAACAAACGATAGGAGAAATTCAAGAATAAAAGTTATATCCATATTGTATTCACGTGATCACATTACGCATCTGTTGTTTAATCGCATCTTTATTTTGAAGAATAAAATTTAATATTTTTGATATTTTCGATATTCCGTACTGCAGAAGGATCAAGACAATTTTTTTAAGGGCGTTTTTTAAAGGCTCGATTTCAAACTCATTGGCGATGGTATAATGCAGTCGGCATTAACAAAACCAACCAATCATATTCTAAGATTGTGTGGATCAACGAAGAATCTTCATAAATAGACAAGAAAACAAATTCTTTCGCGACTTTTTCAACTGCCCTCTATGAAATATCGTACGATTCCTTTATGATAATGGGATTAACGCCTTTCTCTCTCAATAAGACACGTCTTTTGGTTGTGTCTGACGAAGTCGTCCAGATATCCTTGTTCTCAAATAATAGGTTAATTCTTTTGGCGATAAAAATCAAAAAGATGATTTATTGGCAAATCATTTGACGTACAAAATTTTTCATCAAAATGACAGCTCTACCATACCAGATTATGACGATAGCCCACGGCTAAAAGATGAGATAAAGGTTATTATCAAAGATCGGTCTGCGTTCTCTATCCAACTGTCCGTTGCCGTATTAAGTTCTTTTCGGTTTTCAATTTTAGAATCTTATAATAGCATTCGTCAGGCTGAGAGATGATGATCAAATAGTGGATGGCGAGGGATTCTATTTGCTTTGCAGTAAATAAATACCCTTTAAATATCTAATTTGAGTCATTTGTTCAATGGAATAAATCGCATCTCGTTACCCTTTTGCAAAGAAAAGAGGGACTGGAAAATCGGGAATCGATATATTTTCATGAAGAATGGAAGACGACTTAAAGCACATAGATATAAATACAATTTTACATTGGAAATCTCTACAGATCAGAGGAACTCGAGGTACAATGTTTTTCCTTGTTAAGCTTGATGTGCATAAATAACCCACGAGGTGCATTTCATCATCCCTAGAACGAACGCGTTAAATGCAGGAAAAAGCAAAGGTGTCCGGCGAAATCCAAAACTTATTGTGCGAGAAATTTTCTTTAATTCAGATAATAATGATTACAACTTTACATCAGAGGACGATGACAATAGAAAGGAAGGCGCACCAAGTCGGATCAATCTAGATACGACAGAAAATGCATGCGAATCGATTGTGACCGAAGGATCAGCTAGAAAGGTTGAAACGCGTACTACACATATCCTTGAAGTACCACATTGATTAATTTACCGTTGGTGATTATCTTATTGTAACAGCTACCCCGAGAAGAAATGGAAGAGGTCATTTCGTCGTCACGACATAATATTCAAGTGCTTCAGGAGAATCAAACCAATAATGAATCCGAGGATCGCGATTCCTTGACCCCTTTATCGATCGGGAAAAGCATTAAAATTCCATCACGCACGCATATTGATACATCACCCTCTTCCTCGCCGCTATCAACATCGAGGATGTCTGTTGAACCTTTCATGGAAACTTCACAATCAAGGATGTTTTCTGAACCTCCCATAGAAACATTTACTGAACCTTCTATGGAAACGTTGCCGCTCTCAGTGATGGCAACCTCGATATGCTCGAAAGAATCGTCACCAAGTTTGGCCGTTGAAACTTCGACAACAATTGATCGTCGGTCGTCGTGTGTGATTGAGGTTGAGCATGAAAATTTGATAATATTTTCTGGAAATGAAGATGTCGAACAATCAATTTCGACCAATGTTTTTTCTGAAAATGTCGAACAATCGACCTCGACAAGTGTTGTTCCTGAAAATGAAGGAAATGAGGGCGATCGATTAACTCTGACAAGCGTTTTTCTGGAAAACGAGGATGCCGAACCGTCAACTTCGACAAATGCTTTTCCAGAAGATGTTGAACAATCAACCTCGACAAGTGCTGTTCCTGAAGATGAAGGCAATCGATTAACTCTGACAAGCGTTGTTCTTGGAAGCGAGGATGCCGAATTGTCAACTTCGACAGATGTTCTTATTTCAGTTGGTAATGTGTTAGGAAAGAGAAAAAGAAATGACGAGGATGAGGAGAGTGAGGATGCTAGGGAAAAGGATGAAAATGAAAATAAGAATGAGGATGAAAACGAGAATGAGGATGAGAACGAAAATGTTGAGAACGGAAGCGAAAATATTCTCGGGTAATAAAGTGATCAAAGATACTACAATGTTTATCGCGTCATCTCTACAACTACTTGCTAACATTAATTTAATTAAATGAAAGTTACTTAAATCCCCTAAGGTATTTCAGAAATTTATTACCAGGAACCAGGAGAAGAAGAACTTTATAAAGGTAGGCCGCACACTCAAAATTCCTTTAAAGGAAGTGTCATTTTTATGCTAATTTTACCTCACAATAAGTAAACGTATTTTCGTCTTATTGACTCCAAACCAATCAATTGTACACTGTGTGAGGGTGACATGATAATGGTGTTTTTCCGTCTTTCGCGAATGTCCATCTAGTAAACATTTAATCAGGTTTCTATTTAGCTTCCCACTTCGTCCTCAACTTAAATGCAGTACGTGTGATATGTAAATGATATACAGTACGTAAGCCTTATCGAAAGAGCCTACGTGTACGGCATTTTATTGGCTGGTTGATTTGGCAAATTCCCATTGGTTATTGTAAACACTGATGAATAGTATAAAATCCACACTCAAACGATTCTCCCTCGAGAGTACTTCAGACATGAGTTTTGGAATGCTTCAGGCAAGCTTTCTCTTTTTCGAAGAAAAAAAAAAAAAAAAGAAGAAATTAGAATTCCTTGTTCATTTTTCAATGATTTTAATAAAATGCCAGATACCCTCTTCGTTACCTAAACCAACTATACAAAATATGATAGGTGGCTGTGGTTCTACATTTTTTAAAATTTCAAGAAACCTCATTGTTTCTATGCAGCGTCTTATTTAGAAGTTATCTTGTATGATATGCGTGAGGCTAACTGAAGTCACATCCAAAATTTTCAGAGAGAGCATGCAATCCTCAACTGACGGAACCCGATTTGGCATTAAACTTGGAAATCGCGGATTTAATTAATCAAAAAAAGCAAAATTGGTATGTCGCTTGCGAAGATTTAACCTCATTTACTTTCTCTTGATAAACTTGTTAAATAGTCATTCCAATTAAAATTCAAAGTCCACGCGATGCTGCATTTCACATCGTGAAGCTTATAAATCATCGTAACCCGGCTGTCGGCCTGTTAGCACTGACGGTACCTCAAATTTTAGTGACCTTTACAATTAACCAATATAATAATATAACTTAACGTCGTTTTTTTTTTAATGCAAAAAGCTCTTGGATATTTGTGTTAAAAATTGCGGCTACCCATTTCATTTGCAGATCGCTACCACAGAATTTCTAAATGAGCTTGTGAGGAATTTTCCCGAGAAACCACCCGTAAGAATTTTGACATTCGACCGTTATCTAGCACATCCACCATAGCATTTATACATTCTTGTTGTTAATAATAGGTGGTCCCCAATCCAATACAATTGAGAATATTGGAATTTATCCAAGAGTGGAAATCCACTATTTGCACGACCTCGCGTCATAAAGATGATTTAAATCATATCGGTGATATGTACCGATTGCTCCTCTATAAAGGTACAAAAAACGTCGCGCGTCGAGATATCTTTCAACGTTATACGCTAACCATCATGATATTGATCACAGGATACATATTTCCCGAGTTGGATAATCGATCAGCGGCGGTCCTCCATCCAACAGAGGTCTGAGGTTTGATTAGCTTTGTCAAATGCCAACTGTTCGTATAATAAGGACCAATCATAAAATCTCTTTATATCTGCAGACGTTGAAATCTCCAGATGAGTTGGAAGAAGAGGACCGTGCTGCGCAAGCAGCGGTAAAGTCAAAGTATTTCCGTCTATTTATTGTTTACGCTTTCGATTTTTAATGGCTGGGTTTTCTTTCTCCCTTTCTCTTTCTTTCTTTTATTTATTTCTTTTTTTCACTTAATTCTGTTTATAAAATTATAATTTTAAAACTTGAAATCCGCAACAAAAGAAACTGCAAGAATTAATTCGCAGAGGTACGCCTGCCGATCTAGAAGAGGCGAATGAACTTATGAAAATTATGGCTGGTTATGTAAATTTTTACTTTAATAATTTCGTGTCTTTCTACTTAGCTTGATTCTATTTTAAAACTTAATCTAATGCGCCCGCTTTGTAGGACCCAGAACAAAAGCCAGACTATAAAAAGCAAGTTAATGAAGAATTAGAGCGAATTCAAAAGAAAACGATACTTTTGAAAGATATGCTTAATAATGTTAAACCTGGTGAAGAAATTGGAAAGGGTGATGTATTTGAGGTGGGTACGGATTCTGAGAAAAAGAATATGCCGCTTAATTATTATGTTATTCAATTTATTTATTGAGCTCTTTGTTGCTTATAGGATTTGATACAATCTTGCAAAGTTGCACAGCCTAAAATTCAGAAGTTTATTTCTGAGGAGGACGACCCGGAAAGTATTGGTGAGTTGGTTTTGTATGTATAATTTTGACGTCGACTACATATTAACATCACTCACGAACTTTCGAGTTTACAGAACGTTTATTGAATCTAAATGACTTGATCAACACGGTGCTGAAAAAGTACGAAGACATTTTGAATGGAGTATTCGAAGAAACGGAGGAGTTAACACCACCGCCGCCACCACCGCCATCAATGTAATATCGCTTTTAAATAACTTCACCTTCAAAATTATATCATTAAAGATCGTATTAAAACATGTTTGCTATGAATAGTACATCAGAATCTTGGTTAATCGATTTGGGAGAAGATGAACCTCAATTACAAGGACAAGGACGAATTCGAATTTCTGATGACTTGCTTGGCGATACAAGTGCTCCTAACGATGATGACGCGAAAAAGGGTGAGCTTGTAATAAAGGATTGTTTTGGAGGATTTGAAATCATTGTTGACTCTTTTTTTTTTTTTTTTTGAATTAGGAACAGTTATAGATGATTTGCTTGGGTTATCCTTTAATTGAGTTCTATAATGTAAAGTAAAAAATGCTTAAATTTGAAGGATCTAATTAGATTGACAGAATACCGCGATTCATTCCTTCATTAATAAATGTAATCTGCGTGATTATTTATCTTTATCTCTAATTGCACTTTCCTTGACGTCTATTTGATAACTATTCCTTTGTAGTCTTTTGTTAATGGTGAGTAGTTTCGCAAATAATCTGAGAAATTTTAATCAATATGTTTATGTATCAAAATGATAGATTTATTTGAACTTTAAACACATAACGGTATAACATTTTAATTATCTGACTAAAATATAAATTTTGGATCTGTTTTTTTATCTTCAATTATAGTATTTTTTATTTTATATACTGTACATTTAACTGTATTCTTAAAATAATTATTTAAAAAAAATTTTTTTTTACTTATTTATGATTTTAATTATATTCTATTTATTTCATACGCTATAAATCGAATTGATCTGTACACTAAATAGTATTAATTTATCTATATACTTTTCAAAGTCAAAATATACTTTTAGGTAGATAATTTGAAAGAGTGTAAAAAGTGTAAAAAAAGAAATAAGGTTATATTGTTAAACTATAACCGAAATGATGTAGAAAACAAGTTTAGTTACTAGCATAATTTAGGTTTTATTGATAAACTTTGAGATAATTTTTTAAACTTTCGATTTATGATTTTATAGATAATTAATTCAATGCACTAACAAAAAATATCTCTAGAGTTTTTTTTGATAAGCTCATCTATGCTATTTATATTCGCTTAATAAAATCATAAAGAATGAATCCTAAAAGTTAATCCGGTATTTAAAAAATAAAATAAAAAACAATAAAACAATCGAATTTATATTTTAATAATTAAAAATAAAATATTTAATATAATTACATATTATGATTTTATTTTATCAATTTACAATTATACTATTATAATCTATACTAAAAGGAATTATTTTATTGTTGATTCTATTAATTACATAATATGATTCAAATTAATTTTGTCATATAACTCAATTAATTGTGTCAAATTGTATTAAGAATCTACAAGTTTTTACCATATATATAATTTATATCAAGTTTACAATTAAAAAAAGAAAGAGTCCTCATGTTCTTTCTGCTGATCCTTAAAATTTTAGAAAATTTCCTTTTATAATAATTTTTTAAAGACAAAACCTTCTCACAAGAAACAATCCCAAGGAGAAATAACAATAGCAACAACTCCCTTCCTTATAATATACACTTGACTCCTGATAACAAGGAAGAGACAACACTAGTCAATAACAATATCATTATATCCTTGTTTTGCTTAAGAAAAAAGAGAAAGCAAGGACAAACTGATTCACAGTAGGCTTCTTGAGATCCAACATCAACTTCACAAAGTTTTTAGTCAGGCCAGTACAGGTTAACACCTTTTTAAACACTAAGAGAGGTTTTAGAAGCAATAATCCAAACCGATAAATTAGTTCAAAGTCAGGATTCCAAAAACCTAGAAAAACATTCAGATCTCTTAGGTCAAACAATAAAGATCAGTAGTAATGAATCATAACAACTGATCTATCAAACTTACATCATGTGAACATAAATATATAAAAATGAATATAATCTAGTCATAATAAAACAACAAACTCTAGATATGTCAACACATTACAAAAAAGTAATATGTATCAATTGGACCATATCAAGAGCAATAAACAAGTAATACACGTGTAGATAAACAGGATCAACACTAAGACTAAAACATGTGAAGAATCAATATATTGGTACAGATCATCCAATTACATAACCCAATATAATATTCCATTTACAGATCAGTGCAAAGAAAAACAATAAAATATCAAAACAATCCAATACACATAACAGTTTATCTGCCTCACATAACAACATAACTCAAAAAGAACAAAATATTATTAGAATTTTGGAAAGATATAAGTAAAAAATTTTTAAAGTATTAGGAAATATTGCTACTAGCTATAATCCCCAACAAGAACTATGGAAAACAAAAATGCTACAATACAAGTTAGGACACATGACAGGAGACCAACCACATATCCCAATAGGAGCAATTTACATAACCTCAATATTAAGTAATATCTTAACCACTCTATTAAATATAGATCCTGAAATCTTGGCAAAAGAACAGATGTTAAAAAAATATATTCTCACTCTATGAGAAAAGGGACAAGGTAAGAAACAAGACCTTGAAGCTTCTATGCTTGAAGAAAAGGTATATAATATCTTAACAAACAAGATAGAAAATTATATCGCAAGTCATGATGTGAAAGAATCCAAAGAAATAGATAATATTCTGATAGATATTTAATCAACTTCTATAGAAACTGAAGAAAGCCAACCAATTAAAGAAGTTGAAATGGAAGATCAGAATATATTAGAACTGATAGAAGCAGAAGCAATTAAGGAAACAGTTCAAGGAACCAGTGTTACAGAGAATATTTCTTACAATACATATAACAAAATACAAGGTTTCGCAATCAATCCTTATTTAATCAAACAAACAGGTACAATCAAATTGGAAGTACTTCAAGCTACACTACTTGGAGACAACAAAAAAGAAGAAATCAAATATCTCAAAGAAACATTAAGTATTCACAAGAGACAAAATTCCTTCAAAACTGAGTTCATCAATAGCAACCACTGGATTACTTTTGGTATTAATGAAGAGGAGAATACAACACAATGTTTAGGATCAATTAATAAAAAAGAAGAGAAAAACTTCTTCATTAAGAGAATGGATCAAGATAGGAGTACACATCCAGCCTTTTAAAAATATACTTTAAACAAAAGATTCTTCAAGCCAGAAAACTTTTCTTCAGCAGAAAACTGATCAAAGTATATTACATTGATGAATACAGAACACAAATGCAATAAACAATCAATCAGAAAGGTGATGGAAGAATATGAAGAAATAGTCAATATTCATGAATATTGTATGGCTTTTCATCAAAAAAGATTCAAAATCCATCTCTTCACACATCATGAACATACCAAATTAAAACAACATTGAGTACTCAAGATTAAAGTCAATCAAGTAAGGTCAGTAATAGTCCAAAAAGAGTTAGATAATTAAGAAGTAATCCAAATACTCAAAGAAAGAAAGTATCACTCCTTAAGATTGTATGGGGTAAAGGAAAGATTTATAGAACTGATATCTAAATTACTCATTCAGACAAAAGCAAAAGCCTCTTACTTATCAAGAAATAAGATTACTCTAACATCAGAAGATTAAATAGTAATTTACTTTGAAAATAAGAAAGATTTGAAAGAGGTACTTCAGCAACAAATCATTATTGAGAACCAAAGACTAGTATAGAGTATGAAAAATCACTATCAGCAACAATGTAGAATGTCAATTGACTCAAACAACTCATATGAATCAGATATCCTGGAGATTTTACTGAAAAAGAAGAAAAGCAGAGATACAAGATTCACAAAAAGGAAACAGATAATCACACTGAGATGGAATACCAGAATACGGCAACAATAAGTATTGAAAAGAATAGCAATCACCACATAAGAACTAACAGACATACATCAAGACCAGATTCACTAGCCACTGGTAGCAATAGAGAACCTTTAAGAAGAATAAGAAGTCATATGTCATATAAAGAGATGCAAAGTCAAGGAGAAGAAAAAAACAATGATATCAACACTAGTCAACAAGAGAAACAAATAATTAGATGCAAAACCAAAAGCTTCTGATCAAATTCAAGCTAAGAATCTGAAGTATCTCAATTATGCAAATTAATTGAAAAACTTGGCAAAAGGATCGACAAATTGGAAAAGGACTTACTTAGATGAAGGACCAACCGTTCTTAAAAAGGAGCACCAGTTCAATTACAGAGGGATAAGGAATATCTGTTCACTATTACCAATATCCAAAAAACTAACAAGGATAAAGCATGATAGGAGGAACAAATTAATATAAAGAGATCAGCAGTATAAGCAAGATCTTGCGACTTTCATCCAATAGAAAAAACTATATTCATATAGTAAATAGAAAAATATCACTAGAAAATAAAAACCAAGAAGACGTAGATATAAAAAAAAAAGTAATAAGAATTGAAACACACAATATCAGAGATATTATCAATAAAACAAACCAACATAATCTTATAGAAGAAATATTAAAACAAGATATTGGAATTATGGGTCTATGTGAAATAAAGCTAACCAAAGCAAAGGCAAAATAGGCCTTTCAAAATCAAGAGATGTATAAACACTTTTACAGTGCCAACAAAAACACCTCCTATGGTGCAAGGGTTAGCTTACTGGTAAGAAAGAATCTAGAAAAGAAAATAGTATTGGTAGAAGAAGTTGAAGGATACATGATAGCAATCAATATGCTCATGAGAAGAAACAAGATATGCATTATTTAAATTTATATCTCCTCGACAAACAATGAAGTAATAGGGTACAAGAGAAAGTATAAAACTTTATCAGAGAAAAGCATAGACAGAATTTTCATATAATAATTATGGGAGACTTCAATGCTGTATACAACTCTGCAGAAGATAAAACATCAACTTCCAGGGCAATATTCAAACCATCTTGGTATCCAGAAATATAATTATTTAACTTTCTAGATGAATGGGATTTCATAAATACACAAGCAATATGGAAAGGAAAGAATAAAACTTCAACAAGATGGGATACTATTAGCAGTAGCTGAATAGATTTTATATGGATATCATAGAGCTTCACAAAATTTTCATTATTATGTTTCGACAATCAAAATATGGAGGAAATAACAGGCAATGATTATACAATGCTCATGATAACATTACATAAAGACAATCTGTTCTCAAGAGATGGCATCAACCAATCCACTATAAAAAATAAAAGGAAAATTGATATTAAAAAATCAATAGTAGAACAATAGCAAGCATTTGGAAAAGTGTAAACCATAAATTTCAAATAATGCTAGAGCCTTTATTAAAAGAAGAGCTGGAAGAGAGT